ACGCATTTACAGGCTCTGTCGTTGAGTGCGGTCGACTGTGGCAGTCGACCGCGTATCGGGTCAGGCCCAGTTTGAGTTTCATGTTCTAATTTGGATTTTGGTGTTTGTATAAATACCAATATACGTTCTAGGGTTTCTTAAGACAAGAGTTTGGGATATTTGGAGCACAGAAAAGAAGTATTTTCTGAGCTATTTGATTAAGGTTTATTTGGAGAGATTAAGAGTTTTGTTGGTGAGATTAGTTTGTTCCTTCGAGTGATTTGTAATCTTAAGTTGTACTCTTATTCTCTATTAGTAAAAACTCCATCCCCTTCTTGCTCCGTGGACGTAGGACGTAGGTAATTGCCGAACCACGTTAAAATTGGTGTTTTGTTTGTGCATTGATTTTGGTTGGTTTTTGGCCCTCTTTGATCAGCGTTTGGTTTGATTCCTCGACATGGTTTTTTGCCCAACACTAGATGCCAAGAACATGTCAGGACGTTTCTTAGTGTAGTGTATGAAAACCGCAGCACACATGATCAATCGGCTACCACAACCGAAATTGAAGTTCATGTCACTCTTTCTGAACCTATGAAATATCAAGCCAAGAGTAAGTCATTTCAGAGCTTTAGGTTGTGTATGTTATATTTTGTGCCTGATCACTGACGCCGCAAGTTCGACAAAAAAGCCATAAGCATTTTTGTGGGGTACGACATTGAAAGAAAAGGATGGAGATGATGTGGTCTCATAACCAGACGGTGCTACACATCAAGAAATATTGTGTTTGACGAAGCCTCATGTTAGTGGACTTCACAAAAAATTGTTCTCCCGGATTCCAATGATCTAGAGGATCAACTACAAGAGAAGTTGGGGGAGCTAAGTTAAGAAGACGAATCACAACAATCAAATAAGACAGAACCAAGTTCTTCTATATCCTCGAAGAAGAAAAATCCATAAAAGACCAGTGTTCATCAGACAACACCAGAAGAGGAGCGCCTGAGCCAGATCGAAGATATTGATGAAGAACCCGGCTGGATAGGTTCGAAATTCAACTAGACAAAGGAAAACAAATCTGAAGTACTCTAATGTTGTCCTGATAAAAAACGTGAAGGAGTCATCCACTTTCAAGGAAGCATATGGGCATGACAAACGGAGACAAGTGTTGAAAGAAGAAATCCAAGCACTGAAAAAAATTTAGAGTTCTTGAACACACGTATAGAGAAATCGGTGTCGAAGAGGAGTGTTAAATGGGTAAGCACCAACCAATGTGTAAAATCAAGGTAGGTGCAATAGTAACCTCTCACCTACTCTAAATAGTATACACCTACCATGATCAATCCTCTATAAAAGGGGATCCCAAGCAAGTGAAATAAAAGTCAAAGAGAGAGGAAGCTCGTGGATCCCAGTAGCAAGCAAAATAAAGAGAAGTATATAAGAGAGAGAAACGGAAAAATAAAGAGTGGTTCGCTGAGAAGAGTGCAGCAGTATAGTAGTGTGTGTGAAGATGAGAAAGAAGAGAGTAATTTCACGCACACACTAAAGAGATTCATTCATTACTTAAATAGATAACAGCAGCAACAATTCAGTTAACAATTCAGTTAACAATTCAGTTAACAATCCACTAACAACCCACTAAAGAGATAAACTCCTAATAACTATTAACTACCCGATACCTACTAAATATCTTAACATCCCCCCTTAAACTGATTTCTGCAGAAAACAGTTTAGGAGAAAACAAGTAAATCAGAATTTCAGTCTCCTGAGCATGTCTTCCCTTGAACATCATGCAACGAACACATTCCAAGCAAACTTCTGAGATGCTCGAACAACGGTTGCTTGAGAGGTTTAGTCATAATATCAGCAATTTGAACCTCACTCCTGCAATATTCTAATTTAATCACATTCTCTTGACATAAATCACGTAGGAAATGGTACCGAACATCAATGTGTTTGCTCTTCCCGTGTAAAACTGGATTCCTTGAAAGCTTGATGGCAGAGACATTATCACAATAGATTGTTGTAGCATCTTGCTGATGATAACCAAGGGTATCCAACATTCTTCTAAGCCAAATTGCCTGGCAGGAACATGAAGCAGCTGCAACAAACTCAGCTTCCGCAGTGGATAATGTCACAATTTGCTGCTTCTTTGAGGACCATGAAATAGCACCTGAACACATTAAAAACACATCCCCTGAGGTGCTTTTACGATCATTTAAATCACCTGCATAATCACTGTCAGTATATCCGAAGAAATCTGATGTTGCACTTCTCTTGTAAAATATCCCGAAATCAACGGTGCCTTTCAAGTATCGAAAGATTCTCTTTGCTGCTTTGAAATGCATCTCAGTTGGAGCTTCCATGTATCTGCTAATTAAGCTCACAGGATGCATTATATCAGGTCGAGTGGAGGTTAAGTACATCAAGCTTCCAACCATTTGCTTAAAAAGAGTGTTGTCAACTCTCTTTCCATCAGGATCAGTACTTAACTTTAATCCAGCTTCAGCTGGTGTTCCAACAGGATTACAATTCATCATATGAAATCGTTTCAGCACCTCCTGAACATATTTCTTCTGACAAATAAAATTACCAGCTGTAGATTGTACTACTTCTATGCCAAGATAGTAGTGCATCAGCCCCAAATCACTCATGTCAAATTCCTTCATCATAGATTGTTTAAAAACATCAAACATTCGAACATCACTACCAGTGTAAATCAGATCATCAACATATAGACATACAACCAGTAGTTTACCATCATTGCCAGACTTAACATACAACGTATGTTCATATGGGCATCTCCGAAAACCTTGTTTGACCATATATGCATCTATGCGGCTATACCAAGCTCGGGGAGCTTGTTTCAGCCCATAAAGCGCTTTCTTCAATCGAAAAACTTTTCCTTCATGCCCTTGCTGCACATACCCTGGAGGTTGATCCACAAACACCTGTTCTTGCAATTCACCATGTAGAAAAGCGGATTTCACATCTAATTGAAATATACGCCAAGAGTTTTTAGCAGCAAGAGAAATTACCATCCGAATTGTGTCTAGCCTTGCAACCGGAGCAAACACTTCTTTATAATCGACTCCGTACTCTTGCTTATATCCTTTTGCTACTAAACGAGCTTTGTACTTGTCAACCTCCCCTTTTTCATTCAGTTTTGTTTTAAAAACCCACTTCACACCAATAGTTTTCTGACCTTTAGGCAGATCAGTGAGTTCCCAGGTATCATTTTTCTCAATGGATGCAATTTCAGCATCCATAGCTTTTTGCCATTTTGCATCTTTGCTTGCTTCCATAAAAGTGAGGGGAGTACAATCTGCAAATAAAGCAAAGTGAGCAAGAGTATCATCATCAGAGAGTTCATCTCCACTTACATAATCCATCATCCAGCTGGGTCGCCTCCGAATACGTTGATTATGAATCATTTGATCAGTGACACTTGGTGCAATAGTGGCTGGAGAATGCAGCTGCAGCTGATCAGCGACTCCAAGTGGAACAACAGGAGATTGAGGTTGCACTTCAATCTCATCATCAACTGCATCAATGTCAGCTGGAACTCCTTGCTGTTTTACTGTTTTTGACCAGTCCCACATCTTTTCCTCATCAAATATTACATCTCTGCTGATAATTACTTTCTCAGTAATTGGATTGAACAATTTGTATGCTTTGGAGTGTTCACTTACTCCCAGAAAAAAACACTTCAAACCCTTGTCATCAAGCTTCTTTCTCTTTTCATCTGGAATATGTGCATATGCTATGCACCCAAACACTTTAAAATGATCCACTGCTGGCTTCCGTCCTCCCCAAGCTTCCTCGGGTGTCTTATTCTTAACTGAAAAAGTAGGACACCTGTTCAAAATATGAGTGGACCACATAACAGCTTCAGGCCAAAAACGTTTTGGAACTCCTCCTTTAGCAAGCAGACTTCTAACCATGTTGAGAATAGTCCGATTCTTTCTCTCAGATACACCGTTTTGTTGCGGTGTATAGGAAGCTGTGAGTTGCCTACGAATGCCATGCTTATCACAAAAAACATCGAACTCTTTTGAGCAATACTCTCCTCCACGATCAGTTCTAAGGATCTTAATCCTCTTTCCGGTTTCAGTTTCTACAGATGCTTTGAAGGTTCTAAATGCATTAAAAGCTTCTGATTTTTCCTGCAAAATATATACCCATGCCTTTCTACTAAAATCATCAATGAAAGAAATAAAATATTTCTTTTTACCATTTGACATTGGGTTAATTGGGCCACATATGTCTGAGTGCACCAAGTCCAGCAAGTTCTGAGCTCTCCATGCCTTTCCTTTTGGAAATGGGTCGCGATGTTGCTTTCCAACTATGCACTCTTCACAGACCTTGGATGGAGTTGTGATCATGGGGAGGCCTGTCACCATCTGCTTTTGATATAGTGTCCTCAAGCCATTAAAATTAAGGTGCCCAAATCGATAATGCCACAGCCATGATGGATCATCTTCCTTGGCAACTAAACAAGCTTTAACAGTCTCAATTTTTAGTGGGAATAGCAGGTTTGAGCTCATATGTATGACAGCAATGCTGCCTCTTACAGGATCATATATCTCACAAGAACCATCCTGTATAGTGATGATATATCCCTTCTTTTGCAATTGCCCAACACTTAACAGATTAGTTTTCAAATCAGGCACATAAAACACGCTGGAAATTGTTTCAGTAAAACCATTTTTAGTTTTTATTTGAATATCTCCTTTCCCCATCACATTTAATTTAGAACAGTCACCAAAACTGATAGTGGTACGAAAATCTTCATTTAAGGATGAGAAAGAGGACTTACAGCCACTCATATGATTACTACACCCTGTGTCAACGTACCAGGTATCAAATCCAGGTTCTTTATTGGCATGAAATGCCATTAAAAGTGTTTCTTCTTCCCTTCTCTCAACAAAGTTTGATTTTTCTCCTTCTCCTTTATCTTTCGGCAGCTTCGTATAGCATTCATTGCTATAATGACCATAGTTGTGACAGCGATAACACTGGATATTCATCTTATCAGTATGTTTATAACTACCTTTTCCTTTGGCTTGAGAGCTCGGCGATGAACGATCTTCGTGCCTGAAATTCTGTTGATGTCTACCTCCATTGTGGTTGCCTCGACCTCCTCTTCCTCGTCCTCTACCACCTCTACCCCTGCCTCTTCCTCTGTAGCTTGAAAAATCATTAAAGGTAGAGGCTTTCAAAGCTTGTTCTTCAGATGTATTATTGTCAGTGGTGCTGCGATTCAGCTTCTGCTCATGCACCAGTAAAGAGCTTTGCAACTCATCGATTGACATTGTGTCAATATCATGAGATTCTTCAATGGAACACACAATATAGTCGAATTTGGGAGCCATAGATCTCAATATTTTCTCTACAACAGCACCATCTTCAATCTTCTCACCATGAATCCTCATCTTATTTGCAATCCCCGTAACTCGTCCAAAATAATCAGAGACCGACTCTCCGTTTTTCATTTGAAGAGTCTCAAAATCTCTCCTCATTGCTTGAAGATGTGCACGCTTTACTCTTGCTGAGCCTTGAAACTTCTTCTTCATAGAATCCCATATATTTTTTGATGTATTTTTCTGGAGAATAGTCTCTAGAACTTCACGATCGATTGATTGAAAAAGAAAATTCTTTGCCTTGAAATCTTTCAAACGCGATTCCTCAATTTTTGCTTTCTGGGCATCTGTCAATGCTTGATACGCTGCCTCTGTAGGTGCTGTAAAACCCTTATCAACAACCTCCCAAAGCTCTTTAGATCTGAAGAAATTCTCCATTAGCATACTCCAATGATCGTAGTGACCATCAAAGTGAGGAATTGCTGGTTGGATAAAAGAGGCTTTCTCTGTGGCCATTTGTAGAACAATTTCTACTCCTATACTCTCAGTATTTGTTTATCAGTTATCACCTCTGCAGAGGCTCTGATACCAGATGTGAAGATGAGAAAGAAGAGAGTAATTTCACGCACACACTAAAGAGATTCATTCATTACTTAAATAGATAACAGCAGCAACAATTCAGTTAACAATTCAGTTAACAATTCAGTTAACAATCCACTAACAACCCACTAAAGAGATAAACTCCTAATAACTATTAACTACCCGATACCTACTAAATATCTTAACAGTGTGTAACGTATTGAATGTTATACTACCAAAAAAATAATATATAAGATATTTCATAGTGCCCATCGCTCTTCTCAACTCAACAATTGATATCACCCCTTCACAATTCAACAATTGATATCAAGAGCCACTCTCCCAAATCAATAGAACCTAGCTACAAAGTAAATATTTTTCAGAAAAGAGTTACCATGTCTCTTCGAATGAGCTCCTGGAGCTTGAGCATAACCCGCTGCCTAGAAGTAACCGGAGTGTTCTTCCATTTGGGAAAAGCTTTCTTGGCAGCGCTGACCGCCGCTTTGAACTCTTCGTCTGTAGTCAATGGAACCCTAGAAACGACTTCTTGCGTCGCCTATTATTATTTTAAAAAAAACGCTTTTTTCAGCAAATTCAACAATAAACTGTTTGAGAAATTATAAAGAGAAAAGATCGAAGCTTACAGGATTGATAACATCGATTGAAGTCTCCGATCGGGACTCCAAGAGCTCCCCTCCGATGAGATTCCTCACTCTCGCCGGCGACGCTTCAGCGACGGTGGAGAAGCGGGAGAATCCCTGAGATTTCAATGACCGGGCGCTGGAAGCTGCATTAAAAAGCAACAGATGAACAGAAACTGGGGAAATCTTAGGGTTTTTTTTTCAAGGGATTTGATTTCTCACCGCCTCGTCGGAGCGCTGATCGGAGCATAATTTTGGGAGGGGATGAAGAAAGTGCTGACGAACAGTAGGATCTGGAGTTCTACCAATTACCCGCGTTTCGTAGATACAAGACACTGGGGTGAATGAAACTAGACATGATGATGTGGCATGTACTTACATAAATGGATGAAAAAAAGACACCTAATTACAAAACTCCTCTGCGTTTAACCAGTCACTGAACAGTAGGACCCATGCGAGGGTAGAGACTCTGCTTAATGAGGCAAATTTGGCACGAGTAGGATCTTTACTCTTTAAATATTCATGGGTTATTTTTTAATCGAGAAGATAAGGCCGTTCGAATACGAAATCTCCGACAGCGAATGACTACTAGTTTGGCAAAATAATGACCATTGTGAATCTTATCAAGGCATTTCATGTTGATTGATGAATCACGTGGGGGCATCACGTGAGTCCAGCGGTTAAATGGATGTCTCATGAAGTGATGTGGTATGAGGAGATAATGATTGTTCAGCGGGTTTTAACCACTGGTTGCTACCCACAAGCCCACCTAAAACCGCGTTTTTCCCTGTTGGGCTTATAAATATTTAGTTTTTCTAGGTTTTCGTGTGTGCGAAGGAGGTGAGTGCAACTTCGGGTTTCTTTTGGCAGCTGCAGCAGACGCAGAGTTAATTTAGCTGCGGGAGAAAAGACTGCAGTAAGAAAAAGTCCTAGGGTTTTGTGAAGAGAGAGAAAATATTTGGAGGCTGACTTTTTCTTGTGAAGAAAAGCAAGGAGCCTATTTGAGGGTTTAGATTGTGAGAGTTGTAAAGTCATTGTATTCTTTTTCTCTTTAATAGTAGATCCCCCCTCCTTGCCCCGTGGACATAGGCAGTTTGCCGAACCACGTAAAAATTGATTGTTTGAGTTTGTGGCCATTGTAATAGTTTTTAGGATCCCTCGACGCGCAGTCCTAGAGCTGACGAGAGTAAGAGCTAATATCCCACTTTGATGAGATATTAGGCTTCAGATTCTTGTTCCCTTTGAGAAACAAGAATTCTTATTGATCTTTCTCTCTTATTGTGCACCAGAAACTCTGCCGAAATTTTCGCTGCGCACAACAAGTGGTATCAGAGACTGGTCATTCCAGTTTTGAGAAGCTGGATAGTGGTATGGTGTACACTGCACAACATTTCACGTATAAGGGCGCCGTTTGGTTGCAAAAGAGAGAGGCCGAAAGCCAAAATCGACTCTTAAAGAAGCGAATTGGGCTTAAAGCTGATAAAAATGTCAGCTTTTGTCAGGGATTCAACCTCTCTGAGTCGCAACCAAACGGGTCGTTCCGAACTGAGCAAAGCATCCCTGCACGTTGATCCGGCTACTGCTCTATAGGAACTAAAGTCCCCAAATCCAAATCTGAGCCCTCCTCCTGCCTTCTACATGTGTTAGGGGCAACACCAGAGCCGTTATTTAAGAGCTTGTGATCACCTTCCGACCGCTGCATCAATCTCTCCGTTGTGTCGGTTGATGGGCATGTCAATCTTGTTTATTTTGCTGTTCACCTGATATTAAAATGTAGTAGCAATGAGCTTTCATTTCTTAAATGGACTAAAAAACCAGGTAGCTTGCAATGTCAGGTGTGTATCGCTAGGGCATCGATCTGCAGGCATGCTAGTGATAAAGGGAAAGTGCGTGCATCGTAAGACCATCTCCATTTGAAAGGAAGCAAGTTTGCTAATGCTTATATTTGCCAAAAAGGATTTTTTTTTTTTTTTTTGAAAAGACCATTTTTGCTAAATTATTTAGCAAAACTAACCTCTTTTACGACTACTAGTCTCGTACGTTTAGTGATATCCTCATCAAGCCCACTAGACTAGTAGTCCTGTGGTTCTTCTAGCTTAGCATTAGCAACCAATTACTACCACTAAACATACGGAACTAATAGTCTCACATGTTTCAAAGCAGTAACATTTCAAAACCGACCTCTTTTTTGGCCTATTGACCAAAAAGACGTCGGTTTTGCTAAATAATTAGCAAAACGATCGATTTTGCTAATTATATCGTTTTGCTAATTGTTTAGCAAAAATGGTCTTTTTTTAAAAAAAAACAAACTCCTATTTATCATATATAAGAGTCCAAAAAAAACTGTTGCTTGATACAACTTCCTCTTACTCTTATATAAATTGTGCATTAAAGGCACATAAGCTACAAGAATAGGAAGAAAAGTAATTTTGTGCTGTGGCTATCAAAAACTCAATTATTTCTTACATACATGACATAAAAAAGAGTTCTGTTGTTATAGCCATGTGATTGAATGCGACTGGGTAATATACCACGAAACTGATGCATTTGCTCGTCTGACATGCATACAGCAAGCACCAGACCTTTGATTAGTCCTGATGCCGGCAAACCGCATGGTACTCCGAGACGTCACAAAAGAATGTGATATACATCAGACTACATTTTGCTGTTGGTGGTTTGTTGAAGCTATTGCATTAAAAGAAAACCCAGTAACAACAACAGCAATACCCTGAATATTTTAGGTCAGCTAAAAAGTCAAAACCCCAAGATCTGCAAATAACAGGATACTTCATAATTATAAAACCAGCCCACAAAAGTCCTCATGCTTTTATTGCCATTATGCTACAAATGCATGAACATTTACGACTTCTGTGATGTGGGCATTGCTAGGGAAACACCCTGAGTTGATACGTCTTTCCATTGTTGTGTTACCGTCTTAATCTGGGTGTAAAATTGTACGCCAGCTTTGCCTGCCAATACAAAGATTGTGTTAAAGTAACAGATAAAAGATATAGTATGCGCAAAAAGAAATGCACCAAACCCTACCGTAAAAGTTGAGGTCACCAGCGAAAGATGCCTTCGAACCAGTGAATGAGAAGAATGGCAATGGAACTGGAATTGGCACATTAATCCCAACCTTCACAAAAATATCAAGCACACAGGTCAAAATAAGTAATTAAACTAAAAGTATGCAACCAATATAATATTAGTTTGTTTAAATCACGTGGAAAATCTCTTAGTGAGAAACTCGTTTTCTTCTCTCTCTTCATTCATTCTTTCTGTCGATTCATTTTAGTTTCCAACTAATGTACTGAGGATACTAAAAAGTCCTAATATGTGATTCCTTCTGATACTGTCTACACAAGCGAGCTCTTTATGACTAACATGTAACTTCTAAATTTTTCCGCAAATTTAATGATTTACCTGGCCAGCTTCTATCTCTGTTTGGAATTTCCTGGCGGATATGCCTGACGTTGTAAATATAGATGCTCCGTTGCCATACCTAACGTAGGAATAAAACATGTGACTTTTTGGTTAGAGCTAAGTTAAATCGTAGCTAGATTCCAAGTACCTCTTTTAAACAAAAGAAGTACCTATTGTTGTTAACAATCTGGATAGCCTCTTCTAGACTTTCAGCCTGATGATAATACATTGTCAGTCAGAAAGAAGACAGACAGAAGGGAAGAAACACAACAGGCAATATAGGCATACCTGTATGCAGAGGAGAACTGGACCAAAAATTTCCTCCTGTTTGAAATTGAAAATTACCATCAGCATACTAAAAGTTCGTAGGAAGACATCTTTAAAAAATAGAAACATACTCAGCGCAACTATAGTAGCTACTGCTTAAGTTGCTAGTATCCCAAGTGAGGTTTATTTCAACCCACGAAAACAGATATAATTTACCACTACTCTCAAATAACATGAAAAGGTCAAAGGAATCTGAAAGATATATATACCTTGTAACACTCCATGTCACCCGTCGCATCAGATAAAATGGTCGGACCAACAAAATTCCCATCCTCGTAACCGGGAACCTAAAGATGACCAAGAAAATTTCAGTTCTCATAAAATTTAGCTGATTGCAGCATCTTCTGTTCTTGTTGCAGTTAAAGCAAGAACTAATTACGAATGAAGGAAGAGCCCAATTTGCAATTTGGTGGCTTTGACACAAAGTTTGATTGTAAACTTGAAGTTGTTACAAAAATTAGAGAGGTTATCCATAAGGAAGAGCCCAATGGCAGTTTTCCTATGAAATTATCTCAAAACTTGCATTTTTTTTTTATTAGTACACTGTTTTATCATAACACCATCAAACAAGAGGCGGGAGCACTGTTACTCAAGCTAAAAGCCCACAGCAAAGTTATCTTCATGTCAGCTTTCCTCAAAACATCTATTCCACATAGTTTGCAGCATGAAACATGCAGCGATGTTCAAGGATATGTCAGCTTTCCTCAAAACATCTATTCCACATAGTTTGCAGCATGAAACATGCAGCGATGTTCAAGGATAGAAAGAACTGATAATAGTAGTTTCCTACACATAGTTTGCAGCATGAAACATGCAGCGATGTTCAAGGATAGAAAGAACTGATAATAGTAGTTTCCTAGATCCAGGCAGAATGCATAGTCAGTTTCTGCAATATTTAATATCTTTCAACAGTACGATAGGAAAGTAACTACTTTTGCCTCTCTTCATATCAAGTTGGGAAAACAATGTTTTTCACCCTTCTTGTTCCCCACTCGCCACCATCAGCTCCTCCTCCAACTATAGGATCCATTATGAAAGCCCATTTTGATAACATCTAGTTTGTCTCATCTTTTCCATTAACAAACAGCCACAGAAAGTCAGGTGTTAGACACCCAACCTAGTTGTTTCTCTAAGAACCAACACGAACCACAAAACAGTAAGTTTCAAGTATATGGATCAGCATGCAGATATCAATATACATAGGGTACCTGGAGAATATTGGACATGCCTTTAATTTAATTCTCTGCATAAAGAGTGCCTGCATTTTTTTTTTGTATGCCTTTAGTTTAACACTTTGTACCAACCTTCAAATCTTCTAGATATGTATTCATTGGAATCATGAAGAAGCTCTCTAGAATCCTAGAAGAGCCTTTGTTGAGGAGGAGAAATGACATTTGAACGTTACATGGTTGAATTCAAGTACTGACCCCGGGCCGAGAAAAACACTATTAGGTTTCAGCCAACCAGGGTAGGAGTTCAATCTATTACAACTAGTATGATTCCAAATTTTTAATTTATATTCTACAGGAACTAACATGATCATCCTTCAAAAGTTGTCGCTGGAAGTTTCCACACACAATTTTGAAAGAAAACCGTGGCAGTTTCAAATGATTCTAATTGATGTGGAAACCTTCGAAGGTATTCAACCAAACCATCTGTTAAGGTGATCAGTTAGCAAAGACATTTTGACATAATCGGGAAACTTCATAAGTTTATTTAGAAAAGGTCATGGTGAACAATCATTCAAGCTCGTAACCACAGTTAACATCATGATAACAGCCATCGCTATCATGAGTTGATTAGCACTACTGCATTAAAATACAAGATGGAATATCCCCACATTAGGCTAATCAAAATGTAAATTCAATTACAAAGTGCAAAAGGAAACTATTCGAGTGAGCTAGTTACAAATCCTAGAAGCCTTGTTGGCTAATAGGAAGATGATACCTTATTGGGCATGGAGTTTAAGCTCAAGCAGCAATGAAGCAGCACTTGAAATTTGAAAAACCTCCTAGAGTAAGAATCTATAACAAGGAGAAAGATAACGAATCTGCCATAGCTAATTGCATACAATTCTAAAGCACAATACTTGAATAAAATACATTGCCACAACAGAAATCTCTATCTCAAGTTACTCTATTTCGTATTTTTTCAACCTTAAAATTCAAATTCATTTCATCCAAGTCTGATCTCTGTTCATTTACTGGAAGAAACATAAAAACATAGAAACAAACTCTGTTATATTATCCAAACAATTCCTAGTGCATAAGTTCACTTACTTCAGAAATAACCCAATATGTAATAACGGAGCTAAGTCACCACCTTCCTTACAACCGAAGTAATATATATTGTTCAATAATCCTATACAAAATTCCCACGCAGTCCAATTTACCAAAATATCTCACATTGACGCATTAATAGGATTTGTAATGTCCATTAGGAACACAGGTTATAATGTTATATCTGTCCAGCTTAAATTAAACATGGAAATAAACTGGTTGCCAGCACCAAAAGATTTCAAAGAACAAAATGAGATAAATGTGGTTACCACAATGTTTCTCCCATCAAGCACAATCCTAGCACCACTTTCAATGCCACTTTGTATCAAACTGCAAATGCGATCTTTTGCCTGTTGATTCAGGGTAGGTGACAAAAGAAGTTTACAGAAGTATATGTTAGTAAGGAATTGCATACGGAGAAGGGAAACAAAAAAACTAGTATTCTGCAGCTTCACCTGTTTGCTAATAACTGGACCAAGGTCTGTCCCAGGCTCAACACCAGCATTTACTTTCAGGGCACTGGCACGTTTAGTTAATTCTTCCTCCCTAAAAACCAAACATTTTCAGGAGCCTCATTAACATCAGTAATGAATCGCTAAATAAGGACCATCATTTCTCAAATTAAGACAAGGAATTACTGTATTTAATCACATTAGACACAAAGTAACACTTGATATATTGGATGACCAAATGATTTACCATGGTTTTGAACCACCAACAAAAACAGCTGTGCTAATTGCCATACACCTTTGTCCTGCAGCACCAAAACCAGCAGCAACTAGAGCATTTAGAGTAGCTTCAGCGCTTGCATCAGGCATGATGATTGCATGGTTTTTCGCACCCATATTCGACTGATGACAAGAAAATGCATCTAAAGTGTAAGAAATGAGTAAAAATAAGCAAATAAAATGACGTACAACACAGGCAAAAGTAGAATACACGGAGAAAAGCAAAACATGATAACGTTTCAACAAATACACATATCCACCACTACTCAAGGAAAAAAGCACACTGACCTGAACACGTTTCCCCTTAGCCGCTGCCCTCGCATATATGTGCATTCCAGCCTAGAACAAAGAGAGAGTATATTCCGTAAGATTTGAGAATTACCAACGTAAACTTTAAGAATATGCTTGTGATAATTTGAATTAAATAAATAATAGTTTGTGACAACTATACCTGCATGATTGTCTTAAACTTATATCAAAGCTACATTGTTTATTTCATATGAATTTCATACATAACACTGAATGTAATGCAAGCATTGGGTACTATTTAGAGTGAACAACAACACATACTAAAAGAAAATGTTCGACTTACTGTGTTTGAACCAACAAAAGATATGGCCTTAATGTCCTCGTCATCACATATACTGTTAACAGTGTCCTGTTCAATATTTTAAAAAGTTAGATATTTGGGAAATACCTCTTTTAAACAATTGACTCAAATTTATTTTGCATTTTTCAAAATAAACGAAAGCCATCAGTGTCCTAGAATGTTGTGCATGGTTTTCTTTATATAAAAGTATAAATAGACAATAGAACATGCAATAGACAAATTGAAATCATAATTGGCTAAATCAAGCTCACATGTGTTCCATGGACAATATTCAAGACTCCATCAGGCAAACCAGCCTCCATTGCGAGTTCAGCAAGCATCATCGAAGCCCCTGAAAGAATACTAATACAGTGATCATTCAGATAAATTCTTCATTTTATGTGTCCAGAGCTGAAATAATTTACTTCTAAAATTTTCAAAACTGATACTCGGACATGAATGCTACCCAATAATTGTAATTTACTATATATCCATGATGAGCACAACATTCACTTCCGCAAAATATCATTCTCTCTTATTGCCTTTTCAGCATAGGACTATACATCAGTGAGCTGATTGATTTGTTTGCAATTTGGAGGTTAGTTATTCTTAAACATTACTGAATCAGTAAACTTACCAGATAGATTGGATGTCATAAAGTATACCACATCTTCGCCTCATATATACAATCATTAAATTTAGTAGAATGCAAACCATGGCCTTTCTTGTACTTGTGTTGGTATGCATCCTATTGTAAAAAATCGCGAACCTTAAACTGAGTTAAACCAATAAACTCATGCATGTTAATGGAACGAATTTTGGGGCATAGTTTTATGCCTATATAACGTTCTGCATCGTCAAAATCTCATGAGCTTCATATGTTATAGGTTCAGAACCACCTTCGCAAATTTTGTAATGCAGTCATGTGTATTTGCTATTGTAGATATAGGATGAAATAAGAAATATTCTGCATGGACCATCCTCCAGAATGAAACAACCAGTTACATTTAGAACTACTTAATATCACACGATAAGGAAAGACAAGAACAAAAAAAAAGTTAGAAAAAGCAAGAGTTGGTACCTGGATCTTTCTCTGATGGCTTTAAAATAAAAGTGTTACCACATGTCACAGCCATTGGGAACATCTGCATAAGGATAACTAGGCCTTAGAACAAATATCTAGTGATTATATTTATCTGTATATGGTTTAGTTGAAGTAGCATGCAGAGTCAAACCAATTGTAGAACTTGGTTTCCTTGAATTTTGGAAACCCATCCTGCAATTGGAACCCCAAACAGATGTTCAAAATATATAACTCGAAACTACAAGGTTTGGAAGCACATCTTGAGAGAGAAGTCAGCCCGCTTAAAGTTGTTACAGTTGCGGGAAGTGTTCTACACGAAACTAAACACAAGGACTCAACTCGAGTTTGAATTTTGGAGATCAAGCCCAAATGCCCAATCATAAAATTGGTTACAGCTCTAACCAAAGTATTCGGAAATGCAACTAAAAGTTCACTATAACGTAAAGCAACCAAAACATCGTTAACCCATGAAGCCAATCCAACAACATGCCTAAAAGCAATTTCAATTAGAATCGAACACAAAACACGCATGCAAATTTGAAATATGCAAAAGAGTTGTACCCATAAGGGAATCATGGCAGGAAAATTGAAAGGACATATCCCTGCACAGACACCAAGAGGCTCCCTGATACTATATGTATCAATTCCCCTTGAAACATTTGACACGTATTCCCCCATCTGGAGTGTTGCCATCCCACAAGCATGCTCCACCACCTCTACAATAACATACAAAGAAACAATTGTGCAAGTTACGCATCCATCTAAATTATGTTTTTTACTGAATAGAATAAACAGCAATATCCATCATCCCTAACATATTGATTCATTACGAAATAATACACAGACTTTAATGGAAATTTAGATTTGGTGTTTAACTAACCTAAACCACGGAAAACATCACCCTGGGCATCTTTAAGTGTCTTCCCCTGTTCAGTTGTAATATTCATAGCAAGCTTATCCTGAAAAAAGAAACACAGATACCATTAGTGATTGGCCCTTGCTACAAAGTAAATATTTTCCAAAACAAATTACCATGTCTCTTCGAATGAGCTCCTGGAGCTTGAACATAACCCGCTGCCTTGAAGTAACCGGAGTATTCTTCCATTTGGGAAAAGCTGTCTTCGCAGCGCTAACCGCCGCTTTAAACTCTTCGTCTGTAGTCAATGGAACCCTAGAAACTACTTCTTGTGTCGCCTATTATTATTAAAAAAACGCTTTTTTCAGCAAATTCAATAACAATCCGTTGGGAAAGCATAAAGTGAAAAGATCGAAGCTTACAGGATTGATAACATCGATTGAAGACTCCGACCGGGACTCCAAGAACTCCCCTCCGATGAGATTCCTCACTCTCGCCTGTAAATTCGTCATCAAAAACCGTTTACCCCCAAAAAATTGAATCTCAAAATCTAATTTCAACGTTAAATCAGTTACCGGAGCCATTCCGAGGGCCGGCGACCCTTCAGCGACGATGGAGGAGCGGGAGAATCCCTGAGATTTCAATGACCGGGCGCTGGAAGCTGCATCAAAAAGCAACAGATGAACAGAAATTGGGGAAATCTTAGGGTTTCTTTCAAGGGATTTGATTTCTCACCGCCTCGTTGGAGCGCTGATCGGAGCATAATTTTGATAGGGGATGAAGAAAGAGAGTAATAAGAGAGTGAAGACGAAAAGGAGTAGGGAGATTTGGAGTTTTGCCCGCGTTTCGTACAAAAGAGAGAAGAGACCGGCGTGAATGAAACTACACAGAACAAATTTTTTAAACAGACTCATTTCAATTTTTAATTTTCAAAACCGACTCTTTTTTTTTTTATTTACCAAAACCGACCCGATTTTATGATTAGCAGATTAATCACCTTCCTAAATAGTCGGGGTTGGCAACCCCGACTATTTAGGACGGTGTTAAACCCTAATTAGAAGCATTAAACCCTAAAAATTAATGTCCTAAATAGTCGGGGTTGCCAACCCCGACTATTTAGGAAGGTGATTAGTCTGCTAATCACAAAATCGGGTCGGTTTTGGTAAATAAAAAAAAAAAGAGTCGGTTTTGAAAATAAAAAGTTGGAATGGGTCTGTTTAAAAAATTTGTTCAAACTACACATGATGACGTGGCATGTACTTAGATAAGAAGGTTGGCTTCCTTGAAATAAAGGAAAAGTAAATTCTAGAGGGAAACAATTAAAAATTAAAAATAAGCTTTCACTAGTTTCCTAACAAAAATTGAAATTGTCTTCCTTAACTATGAGTCACATCAGCTAATGAAAATGTGCCACATAATCTTTTCAATTTGTTTCAATATGTGAACCAAACAAAAGAAATATAATCATTATAAGAAATACATTTCTTATAATTGATTTTCTTAAATTTTTAGCCAACCAAACAGTCCTTAATTGGAAAGAAGCTTAGTTGCATAATTCCTCTGCCTTTAACCGGTCACTGAAGAGTAGGACCCTTTTGAGCGTTGAATTTTTTTTTTTTTTTTGCGCGAATAGAAACTCTGTTTAATGAGGCAATTTGGGACAACTTGAATCTTTATTATTTGAGTATACATGGGTTATTTTTTAATTGAGAAGGTAAGGTTTTTCGAATATAAAATTTTGAAAACTAATGGATATTTTGGTAAAATAAGAGTGGTGATAATTGTACTATAAAATTGGTGCTAATTTTGTGATCATACAAACGGAAAAGTAATGTTCATGATGAGTCCTGCTTTTTCGAATAACCATTTTATCAGAACCCGCATGACAAAGGGGGTTAACCACAAATGGGAGGCAGTAAGTTACTAGACTCCCCCCCTCAGAACCTCCCGCAAGGTGCGAGAGATTCTGATCAGATGCGTGCTCTAATTTTTCTAACCATTATGGATCTTATTAAAACATTTTACATATAAGGAGCTCACTTAGTATTCCAAGCTAGACTACTAAAATCCTTAGAAAAAGAAATATGCAGAGACGAATCTAGAAACGTTGTTTATTAGGTCAAAACAACAAGCTACAAATGGTGCATTAATTTACATTATTTTTTACCTAAATATTGATAACACCAAAACCAAATAAATCATATATATGTACAAACAAAATAACCTTGTTAAATTATTTTACAACTCTTCTCTTCGTTGTTTGCGTGTTTAACAAACTAGTTAGGTTTGGGCCGTTTGGCCCGTTTTAGTGCTTATACATCGATACTTGAGATTAATTGGTCTAATAGCACTGGGCAATTTGCTAAATGGGCTACATGCTCAATCTGGCCCGTGGCAAATCCGCCATTGGGTATATGGAAGTTTAAAAAAAAACAAACTCCATTCACGAAAAATATTTTGATAGAAATTTATATTCTTCATGTAGAAATGATCTCAGTGACACTCCTGGTCGAACGATAACATCAACACAAATTTTACTCTAAGAAAATAAAATAAAATAATAACAACGTGAATATGAAAAAACTTAGGTGACATCTAAAATGTTTTTGTACCTGAGCTTCTTGAAGGATCCATAGAAATTCACATGCGCAGTAACTACAGAGATCTCTTCGCGAAGCGTGCGTTTTATAGGAGATGCGAAAAAAAAATGGCATCTCTTAGTTATGGACAGCAAGCATGACTTGTGAGGAAAAAATAAAAATCCATATTAAAGTTGCTGGTCCTTTTCAAAATTATGACAAAGTACATTGCGAACAATTAACCAGAAAAGGAAATTCGTAGATATTGTGAGATTGCCATTCCGTCTTTTGTTTTTCTCTTATTGGTTTATTCCTTTGTATTCTTGTCTGAAATCCATAAAAACCAAATTATGGATGGAGACATTGCTAAAGAATAATTATCAGAATGCGGATAAGGTTTTTTTTTTTTCCTTCTTATCTATTTGTGATTTATTTTTCAAACTATTATTTGTCTTACTATTACCATAAATTAACGCCAAAATAATAGTAATACAAAGTTATTCTCTTTTATTATCTATCATTTTGCTTTTCTTCTTCAACTTCATGCATGATATATACATTTGATCGAGAGGAGTAACATATATTTATTATTATTGTATTTCTTATTTTTTATTCAGCCTACCAATTCTTATACTTTGCTTTTCTAAAAGTATATGTTCTATAATTGGAAACAAATTTTTCATAGACAAATTTGTTTATTATGACTTTTTTGGTGCTCTATTATTCAATTGTAAAAGTTTCTACATGAAAGTTCTCACATAGTATTCATATGCTACTTTTATGCTTTTCTAACTATTAACTTTGTTGGACTTACTCTTAAACTCAATCAAATTATATTTTTAAAATAAAATCGGGATCCATTTAAATTATAACCTATGTAATTTAACAGGTAGTTTAACAAATATTAGTGGTTAAAAATTCCAAACTTAACATGTGAATGTCAGATAAGAACATTTGAATGATAATTTTCATATTTGCATAACTAAAGGTATTGGTGTTTCGATTTAGGTATTGAAGTACTAATTTGAAACAAGTTAGTTTATATAAATGCAACCCTAAACAACTTTAGGGTATACTAGTACGCCACACGTGCATTGCATGTGGTGTACCCGACTTCCCCCAAATCCATCCCCGTCACCGCTAACCGAACCCTCCCCCAACTCCGGAGTCCCCGTCACCGCCGACCGACCTCCTCCATCAACGCAGTAAAGCCCTCGACTCCTCCCCCAACTCCGGCTCCCCGTCACCGCCGACCGACCTCCTTCATCATAACAGTCAAGCCACCGACTCCTCCCCCAACTCCGGCTCCAAGTCACCGCCGACCGACCTCCTCCATCAAGCCATCAAGCCACCGACCTCTCCCCCAACTCCGGCTCCAAGTCACCGCCGACCGACCTCCTCCATCAAGCCATCAAGCCACCGACCTCTCCCCCAACTCCGGCTCCAAGTCACCGCCGACCGACCTCCTCCATCAAGCCATCAAGCCACCGACCTCTCCCCCAACTCCGGCTCCAAGTCACCGCCGGTCGTTAAAGGTGTGAATTTCTCTCTCTCTCTCTCTCTCTCTCTCTCTCTCTCTGCAATCTTCCTGCTTGTTTAAATGCCTCACTCGTTTAAATATACCATTCATCTTAATCAGGACCTCATTTGTAATTAGCTGTTCTGTTTCTTTAATTTGTTGCACTTTTTTTACTGCTAATTAATGGCCCACGAATGAGTATTCTAGTCTGGTAAGTTCACCAGCAGAGCCTCTCCTTTCTTTTCCTCATTCCCACGGAGACTTAACGTATGAAAATTTTCCCCTTCGACGAGATTATGCACATTCATTTGGCAAAACCGACAATAGCTGCATTCAATGGATTTAGTAAGAGTAGGCAAGTTGAAGAAAGAATTGCACCGTATTTTAGCTCAATTTGATGTCTGAAAGTCTAGTGCTTTGGAAGTATTCATTGGTCAGGATGGTACTTTAATGGTATTTGCTTCTGAGAGGTGTATCCCTAATTTGCTACGTATACGTTATGAGAAGGGATTGAGGGTCCCAGAAACAAAGAGTAGTGATTTCAATATCTAACACGTATATTGTAGTATATCATTTATCAATCTTGGCTATCATGTATTTTTGGTTGTAGTATTTGTATCATAGGAATCTAGTAATAGTATCATTAGTTAGGTTGGGTACATTTTCTCCTAAGGAGACATGTCATAATGCTGATTATATACTTTCATTTTGGTTACATGGACAAAAACTTTAACCTTATTTATTAGCAAAATAATTTGAAATTGTGATTTTGTTTGAAAAAGAAAGAATTATATTGCGTCTTTACTCAATTTTAGAATTATATTGCGTCTTTACTCAATTTTGATTTCTGAACATCCAGGAGTATTGGAATTTTCAATCGTGCACAATGCAGCGTTATTTGCTTCGCTTGCAATTCAAAGAGGATTAGTATTGATTCAGATACTGTATTCAAGAATGAAAATTTGCAGACGTGATGTTTGATTCAGATAGATGCAGGAATTTGTTGTCTCCTACTTGATGTATAATAGCTGTTGTAACTAAACTATGTTTGATTGTAGCTCTGTTATTACTCACTGATTGTAACTAAACTATGTTTGATTGTAGTTGCTCGTGCAACTTGTCAATTTGAGAATGTTTCTCAAATTCTGCCTTTTGAGTCAAATTCTAGCTTGTAATTTTTTTTTGTTTGAATTTCATTTGACAGGCTTCAGTTTGTGCTTCAGAATTGTAGCTTTGTTGATGAATTTATTTAACTGGCTTCTTTTTTGGTGTAGTGTCTACGATCAACAGTAACATATCGAGATGGTGATATGCGTCAGTGTTTTGAGACATGGAAGATGATGCTGAGCTTTTGGCTTTGTTGGACTTCTTGTTAGGAGAAGGCGACAGCAGGAGCAACTGCATGAAGTGTCATATGTTTGACAGATTGATGGATTTCAATTTAACAGATTAATGGATTTCATAATATCATCTGCTTCAGAAAGCTTCAGCCTGAATTTAGCTAGCGTGATCGATAGCATATGTTTGATTTTGGTGTATTTGTATTATTACTTTGTTTGATTTTGTGTATATTTATTTATTGTGGGGCCCACCCTCTACTCAGTGACTGCGAGCTGGGCGCGAGTTGCCCAACCCGCGAGTCAAATAGCATAGCCCGTCCAAATTATATGTCACTGGTTGAAAAGCTGGGACTGAGTCCAAATTTTAATCCAAACTAAGATAACCATGTCCATTGGTGACCATGTCCACTGCCCTTACATGAAAATGCATACCTAACTGAACTTATAGAATTATAATCCAAACACACAGCAATAAAATGCATATCTAACCGTCTTATATTGTTTTAGCGGAAGAACATACAATGCCTTTACATGTCCATAGGCCATCAAATGAAAATAAACACAAGAGCAATAAATGAGGCCATATTCTTGATACGAACTAAGATCACAAAATACATAACATAATTTCTTGTTTCATTCCAGCACATCAAAGTACATAGGCCATCAAAGTATTTTCCTCACTTACAATGCCTTCACAAAATACAATGCCTTTACATGTCCATAGGCCATCAAAGTATTTTCCTCACTTACAAAGTCTTGTTTCATTCCAGCACATCAAGTTACATCATATAATTTCTTTCATGGCTAAACAAAAAGACAACAAAAAAGCTATAATAGTTAGCCATTTCCACAACACTTTTCATGTGCCTCTGGTGGGGCAATAAAGAGTGGTATTTGTTCAATTGAGGAAATCTTGCACCAGCCCAAATCACACAATCAACAATCCGTTCTTCCTGCAAGCAAACCAGTTAAATAAATTCATCAACAAAGCTACAATTTTGAAGCACAAACTGAAGCCTGTCAAATGAAATTCAAAAAAAAAAAAAAATTACAAGCTAGAATTTGACTCAAAAGGCAGAAATTGAGAAACATTCTCAAATTGACAAGTTGCACCAGCAACTACAATCAAACATAGTTTAGTTACAATCAGTGAGTAATAACAGAGCTACAATCAAACATAGTTTATCATTATCTACTAGGCTTTCATTGTTTGATTCTACAATACAATCCTGTTTACAATATCACTAGGCTTTCATGGGTACACTTATAGAGGTTGTGAGAACCCCAATTCACCCATGATTTATGTTCATCATTTTCTATATATAACAATAACAGTCAGTAATGCACAAAATCTCAAAACATCACGTCTGCAAATTTTCATTCTTGAATACAGTATCTGAATCAATTATACTAATCCTCTTTGAATTGCAAACGAAGCAAATAACGCTGCATTGTGCACGATTGAAAATTCCAATACTCCTGGATGTTCAGAAATCAAAATTGAGTAAAGACGCAATATAATTCTAAAATTGAGTAAAGACGCAATATAATTCTTTCTTTTTCAAACAAAATCACAATTTCAAATTATTTTGCTAATAAATAAGGTTAAAGTTTTTGTCCATGTAACCAAAATGAAAGTATATAATCAGCATTATGACATGTCTCCTTAGGAGAAAATGTACCCAACCTAACTAATGATACTATTACTAGATTCCTATGATACAAATACTACAACCAAAAATACATGATAGCCAAGATTGATAAATGATATACTACAATATACGTGTTAGATATTGAAATCACTACTCTTTGTTTCTGGGACCCTCAATCCCTTCTCATAACGTATACGTAGCAAATTAGGGATACACCTCTCAGAAGCAAATACCATTAAAGTACCATCCTGACCAATGAATACTTCCAAAGCACTAGACTTTCAGACATCAAATTGAGCTAAAATACGGTGCAATTCTTTCTTCAACTTGCCTACTCTTACTAAATCCATTGAATGCAGCTATTGTCAGTTTTGCCAAATGAATGTGCATAATCTCGTCGAAGGGGAAAATTTTCATACGTTAAGTCTCCGTGGGAATGAGGAAAAGAAAGGAGAGGCTCTGCTGGTGAACTTACCAGACTAGAATACTCATTCGTGGGCCATTAATTAGCAGTAAAAAAAGTGCAACAAATTAAAGAAACAGAACAGCTAATTACAAATGAGGTCCTGATTAAGATGAATGATGCACACCTTTAACGACCGGCGGTGACTTGGAGCCGGAGTTGGGGGAGAGGTCGGTGGCTTGATGGCTTGATGGAGGAGGTCGGTCGGCGGTGACTTGGAGCCGGAGTTGGGGGAGGAGTCGGTGGCTTGACTGTTATGATGAAGGAGGTCGGTCGGCGGTGACGGGGAGCCGGAGTTGGGGGAGGAGTCGAGGGCTTTACTGCGTTGATGGAGGAGGTTGGTCGGCGGTGACGGGGACTCCGGAGTTGGGGGAGGGTTCGGTTAGACGGGGATGGATTTGGGGGAAGTCGGCGATGGGGATGGAATTTGGGATAAGTGTTTTGGAATTGGGAGAGAGAGAATGGTCACGAAGCCTTTAACTCCTCTCGGTGACATTTTTCAAAAAGGCCCCCGCTTTTCGTAGCCGAAAGAGAGATGCTGGTCACGAGCTCCAACGAAATTGTCGGAGGATTTTTACAAAAAAACCCTGAAAATCGCTGAAACAGGATAGATGCGTACGCACTGGTCCGCATGAGAAACGAACTGTATATATATATATATTTATTTATTTATTTATTTATATTGTTGATTCTTAAATATGTCCTTATAGTATAATACTTACTTATGATATATTGATTCTTAATGTATCGTTTGAGAAACTTACAAAGACCACTACATAAAAAATTAACATTAAATGTCTAGTATCTAGTTGGAATAGCAAAAAAAATTATTAGATGCAAAATTAAAAAAGGTATAATAGTGAGATGGATTCACAACCGATATAAAGATATTGTTTGAATAGCGCAGTTAATGGGAATTGTATAGATCAATTTTTTTTATTCCAAATTAAAGAATCTCAATCAAGAGACAAATTAATATGAATTTCATATAAGAAATCAAAATTTTTAAGAAAAATTGTGCAAGGCTCCAAAAATGAACTTTTCATGTGCCCTAACCTCCCTTATTATTTTCCATCTGTATTGGTTCCCAAATACATTGGTTTTATGTGATTCAGCCTCTATTTGCACTTTCCAAGAGAAAAAAATCCAAAAAAAATCCATCAATATCCCTCTTCTTCTTCTTCTCTACCTTTTTTTTCATGGAGACCACAACTCCCTCCTCTCCTCTTCTTCTTTGCATAATTTTCCTCCTCTCTCCCTCTTACTCCTCTTCCCTTCCAACACCGTCATCTCCCTCTCCCGTCTCCCATTCACCACCAACGAGCACCCTCCAACCCCATCGTCTTAGGCAGCGTTGAGAAGACTTAGGAGGAGGAGAAGCGGTCAGCGAGATGGACAGAGAGGGATATAGAGAAGGAGTAGGATAGAAGGAAGGAGAGGCCGAGATCATCAAGCTGCTGAGAGGCCCATGGTGAGGAGGAGGTAAAGGAAGATCAGAAGGGATATGGATGAATTTGGTGATGGAGGATGGTCTGCAAGAGGGATAGAAGACGGCTAGGAGATAATGGTCAGGATTAAGGCTCAGATCTAGTGGGTAATGAAGGAGGAAGAGGAGGATAATGAGGTTTTTGTGACATGTGTGTTGTTTATTGAAATGTTTGTGAGGTTGGTTGTTAGCATGTATGTTAAAATGATATTACTTAGGATAAAACTTTGTGAATGCTAATAATTTGAGGAAATGTTATGAGATGTGCCATCTAACTTAAAAATTTTGATTATAAATAAGTTAAGAAAGAGCTCGGAAAAAGACTGATGATTTGGCATTGTTAGTTGACAAGTACGAGTATCATATAAGGATAAGGCTTATAAGGAAGTCCCACTTAATTCCAATTGGATCTGACCGAGGTCTTGAACTCAATGATGCCTAAAGCTATACAAATGCCAGTTTTAGGTCCCGTGATGGGAAGAGCAGAGAAAGAACTTCTTTGCTTCAAACCTAATAAAGAACCCTAGAAAGAGTGCTAGCACCAACCAGGGATAGGAGTAGCACCAATCAAAAGGGAACAAAGTCACCTGCTATCCAGTTTGGTCTTTTTCATTGAGTGGGGGACATTCCGTAGAGCACCACCTCTCGGTATATATGGTCGAACAGCTTCTCATTTTTATTTACTTTGATGAAGTTAATGTGATTTGATGAACTACTTATAAGACTAGTTGGGCACAACTTTTATGAATGCGAGATATTTTTACATGTAATGATGTGTTATTTTGGAACTGCACACAATGTGTTTGTAGTTTTTCTTCAACCAGAGAACTTGGCATATATTGAATCCAATGGTTAAAAAGTATATTAATCTCATTATAAAAATCATGAAGTTGTTTATATCTATACAAAATTGAAGCATAACTTGATTGAAATGTTTGTTTATTGACATCATTTTGTTACGTTGTAGGTCATCGTATCCAATACATATTAACTTTAACTAATACATGTTAACTAAATTTGATACCTACTAACTTTAGTCAATACTTGTTAACTATAACCAGCACCTAATTAATTTAAGCTAGTACCCGTTAACTATATCCAGTATCTAATTAATTTTAGCCTATATTTGTTAACTATATCCAGTACATTTTAACTTTAGCCAGTATTTGTTAACTATATCCAGTAAATGTTCAATATTTTTATATATGGTCATGTTAGCTCTAATATTTATTTGCTTATTAATTAGCAGGTGATGAGAAATTATTC